GGGGGGGGGGGAATCAGCATAAGGCTGGTGTATCCGTTCCGTTATCGAACCCTTAATGTGTGTGCGCACACATTTTGAATGGCTAGCCCGAATTACTTTTACAAATTTGCGAGCAATTTATCTGCAATAGTTAAAAATGCGAATGTTTTGGTCGACTGCCAGTTCACTCTAATTGGGGAAGGACAAGTTTGTATCCCGCGAGGATGCGTTCTTAAGCACATCAAATTGATTCACATTTTTTGTGTCTGCGAAAAGTAATAATTTGTACCTAGTCCAAGTACAAAAATAACTTTTTTCTTGTCTAGGTTAGACAAATTTGAATCCGATCGAGATGTGCTTAAGAACGCATCTTCCCTGGATACAAACTTGTCACCGTTTTCCATCTGGAGTGTAGTCGACCGACTTTCGATCGACGGTTTCACGTTACTAGTTAAAGCTCAACATTTTCCCCGTGACATTTAGTCGGCGGCTATGCGGCTACGCCAGCCGAACACTTAAGCTGACCAGTATACGACTACGACTACGCCGCCGCCGCCGCCGCGGTGTGGGGTATACGGCGCAATCGCAGCCATACGCAGCTCGCGGAGCAGCGCACGTACGTATGTAGGATCACGACCGCGGCGGGTGAATGTCTCCACACCTCAATGACATCAGCTGACGCGCGTGGCGCTGAGCGGCGCGCGGGGAATGAACCAGAGTACTGTCATAAAGGCGCAGGCGTCAGGCGCGGCGCGGCGCTGAGCTCATCCGCGGTGGCGCCGGGGCGGCCGACCTCAAGTTATTGGCGGTGATTGGTTCTCCCCCGAGGGCGTGCCCTTCTCCATGCGCCGCTTACTGCACAAAATACGACCCTACTACTGTCTCCTTACCTTTGTTTCGAAAATCCACTCAGGCGACGATGTGTGTGTTTCAGAGTCGGGTCGACGAATAATAACGGGTGATTCGCTTCCCCTGTATTTGTGTCCGTCACGCCACTGGCACTCGGTAGTCACCCCTCTCGCGGACGCGGACGCACGCTCACGCTCACGCACGGCACGCGGCGGACTGGCGCGGAACCACGCGGACACACACTCGTGACACACTCGCGTACGTGCAGCGCGGAGCCCGAACGCCCTAGCTACGCCCCCTCCGCCAAACAGCTCCGCTAAAGACGGACTGAGCGTGGAGCCGGCGCGCGCGGAGCTGGCGCGGAGCGCGCGGGCCGCCCGCCCGCCCCTCAGCCGCTCAGCCCGGCCGCGGCCTCCGCGCGCGCCCCCGAGACACCACGCCGTCGGCGACACCAGCGCTCCGGGCGGCGTGCGGTCGAAGCAGGAGCCGTGCACCGGGAGTCGGGCCGGGCGTCTGCTCTCCCACTCTCTCCAACCTTGAAGCGGCTGCACTGCACTGCTGCGAGGTGATCGCGGAGGACATGGGCGGTGGACGGTGGATGCAAGTCGCCTGGTCCAAATGTGTCCCCGTGACTGGGAGATTGCTGATCTGTAACCTTCGGACTCCCCGACCAGAGGTATCTCGCCAGTGCCGGCCAACGATGGTATGAAAGCGCAAGAAGGCCTCGCCACGAACGAGGTGCTGGTTCGCTGCCACAGCGAGCGCCCGTCGCTACCCAGGTGGGCAACCCATTCTACTCTGCTCACGGCTGTTGGGCTGCCTAGCGGCAGGCGCCGAGCCAAGTGCCAGCTGACGGAGCGGAGCAGCGCCAGCAGCCAGCCTGTAAGTTTGAGCCCCCCGAGCCCAAGCCAGCCGTGCAGATAGGCAACCAATCGGGCTTGAGGAGCACACAATGCACCGCAAGGTACCGCCGCCTGAGACGTAGGCCGCCCAGCACACGAGACTGGGGTCGCCGGAGAGGTAGGCCACCCAGCGCACGCCCCCCCCTCTCATTCCCACAGGAGTTGTTTTTGTTGGTGTTTGTCGCACGTCTGTGGTGGAGAGAGGTAGGGGGAGTGCAAGCAAAAGCATCAGAAGAGTCAGACAGAGACAGGTATCCAAGTGACGAGTACACACAGCACAAGAACCAGCCGTCCCTCCTCGGTGGGTAGGGTAGTGTCGAGTGGTACAAATGTGCGGGTGGGGGGCTGTCCCTTCCTCCACTCTCACCGCTCTCCCACACATGCGCCCCTGCGCCCCGCACCGCACGCGGAGTTGACGTGACGTGCAGAAGAAGGGCGTATATGCCGAGCGTGGCGTGCGGCGCGGGCTGCGACCCCATTCCTCATCCTCTATGGACTCAACTGAGGCGCCACAAAGGCATCGACCTCCAACAACACACACACACATGCAGTGCACACGCCATGCCTGTGCACGCTCAGGTGCGCCTGATGCGAGCTGCCCCCCCCCCCTCCCCTTCCCTTTCTCATGTGCAGTGCGAACGGTGCTCCCCCTGAATAAGCGTCAGGTCGCAGGACTTTTGCCGCAGAGATCGTGCTGCTGTAGTATTTTCGTAGCGCGCGATAAGTTTTGTTGGCGGGTCTGGAGGATCTCCCCGCGGCGACGTGCCACGCAGCACAAAACGGCGTGCTAACTGTGCGCCTCGTTTTCGCGAGGAAGCGGGACGTTTCGCAAATCCCTTCCTCGCAAGACAAATGGTTGCAGCCGGTGGAGATGCACCGCTGGGTTGGGCTGGGTGCGTCGGGCGCAGCCTAGGGGGCCCCAGCAGCAGCGCCACGTCCCGCAAGCGGCCCGGCCCGCCGGCAGGCAGAGCGGAACCAAAACAAGGCGCCTCCGCCACGCCGCGGACGCCCCAGCGAACGCCCTAGCGAACGCCGTGGTCCCCGTCGTCTGCTAGGAGGTGGCGGGTGGCGGGGCCGGTGGGGGTAGAGCGGCACCGCAAGGCGCGCCGTGGTAGGGGTAGGCGCGGCGCTGGCTGCGCGCCGGCGCGGGGCCGGCCTGCCCGCAGTGGCGTGCCATGCGCCGACTCAGGCGGTCCTCCGCTCCGCTCGCCTCCGTCCCCGGTTCCGCTCGACTCCGCTCGCCCTCGCGACGACGCGCCCCGCAGCAGCAGCTTGCGCCGCCGGCCCCGCGACATGTGACGAGGGCGCCGCGCCCCCGCGAGTTAGTGAGCGTGTGAGTGACGGTGCGAGTGACGACTCGTGCTCGAGTGAGTGACTTGCGTCCCCGAGGTGTCCCCGGCCCCACCCGCCCGGGATGGCGCGCTGAGGTGATATGGTCCCTGAGTGGCGCGAGCGCGCAACGAGTGCATCCCGTCCGGACAGAGCCTGGATCAAGCCTGGATAAAACTAAGCCCGATACGGATACAGCAGCAGCAGCATCAGCGCGGCAAAGATGCAGCGGAACACGTCCATGATGAGAACCACCAGCAACGGAGGGATCCACCACAACCACGCCAATCACAACCACGCCAACCACAACCACAATCACAACCACGTGAACCACATCAAGACCAATGGCCACGCTCACACAAGTAAGTGGATGCATGTTGCGGTGCGCCGCGCCTCGACGAGCCTGCTTGACGGGGAGGGGAGGGAAAGGGAGGGGGGGCGATTAATACTTCTCACGAGCGGAACATACCACACCGGGTCGACCTGACCGGGCGATATGTGCGAAATATCCCGCTAAAAATATGCCTCGAAAAAGGCGGTGTAATCGCGTGTTAGTTGGCCACAAATGAGGCGCGCCGTTCTCACATTACAGACATATAGCGCCCCGCGCCACCCCGTCGGGAGTCGAACCCGAGCCAGACCGGATGGGCCCGGAATCCTGACGGGCCTGGGGAGCCGACCGTGTGACAGGCGCGGGGATCCCTTGGGGGAGGGGGAGGGGGGATGGGCGCCGCCGCCGGAACTTGCTCGGCGGTTGCACCTGAAGCGCATGCAGATCTAGTATATTGCATGTCGGCATAACGGGAGGGGGAGCCCCCCGCGGCCCGCCGGCCCGCCCCGTCAGGCCCCCCGGCCGGTCTCCGGTCCCACACCGGTCTCACGCCAGTCGCACGCCTCGGCCGAGCGGAGGGGCCTCAAGCCACTTCAACGTGTTCAAATCGCAGGGAGGCTCGCAGGCCTGGCAAAAGGCGGCGTCCCGTTGTGCGGCGGGGCTCGGCGGCCCGGCCTCCTGGCAGCCCAGGAAGGACTTTAGGCGGCCCTTGCCCGCGCCGCACTCTGCCGGCCACCGCTCACCTACCCATCTCATTTGTGCAGGAGGCGCAGGTGCCCCCGCCCCACCCCGCCGTGTGCAGACCGTCTGTTATCGTCGCGCCCATCGCGATGCGGCTGATCAACTTTCCTTTTTATGACCTTGACCCTCGGCTGCGACCCGCACCGCGCTCAACGCGAAGAGCAATGAGAGGGAAGGGGGACGCCCTCCCACTCCCTCTCTGCTCGCACTCCTGCACCCACCCAC